GGGGGGGGGTTCGCAGCCTGGGGCCCCTCGGGAGGCTGGGTGGGGGCGGCCTGGGTGGGGGCAGCCGGGGGGGCTGCCGTGTGCTGGGCTGGAGCTGCAGGAGGGACCCTGCTGGGCTGGGCAGCAACAGTGGATGGGGCTGCCAGGGGCTGGGCAGGGGCTTGGGCCGGGGAGGGGGGGGCCTTGGGGAGAGAGCTCTCCCCTGCCAGCCGTGCCTGCCTCCTGGGGTCCGACACCCTGCTGGTAGCCGGCCTGGCCAGGCCACCTGCAGCCCCCATCTCGCCGGCCAGGGTGGCAGGTGGCTGGGCAGGGAAGGCCGGCGGCTCCGGGCAGCTGAGTGACGGGGTGGCAGGAGGCTGCCCGTGCAGGAGGGCTGTGCTGGGGTGGCCACCAGCTGGGAAGGCGGCAGCGCCCTGCAGCACCGCTCCAGGGTCCCCATACGCCAGGGGAGGCACCGGAGGTGGCATGGGGATTCCTGGCCAGTAAGATGGCGGTGCCCACCCTACCGGGGCATAGGGGCCGCCGGGGCCAAAGGGAGGTGGGGGCGGCACGGCCGGCGGGGGCCAGGCCATGGCCGGAGGCGGGAGGCCAGGCACCATGTGAAAAGTACTGGGGGACCCAGCACTGGGCGGTGGGGGCAAACCATGGCAGCCCATGGGCTGCGGGCCGAAGCAGGGCCAGGAAGGCACTGGTGGGTAAAGGGCATAAGCACCGGCAGAGGCTGGTGGCATCCCGGCGGGGGCCGCCCCAGCGGCTGGGGGCACATTTGGCGTGACAAAAGGCATTGGTGTTGATGGGGGTTGTGGAGCCGTGGCGGGTGCCGGAGCCGAAGTCGGAGTGGTGGGAGCTTTGCTGGCAGGAGAAGGCACAGCAGCGGGGCTGGTGGGTTTCTCCGGGCTCTTCTGAGCGCCAGCCGCCTCAGTGGCGGGGCACACAGGCGACACCAGGCAGGGGATCTCCGCCAGCTCTGTCGGAGGCTCAGGGACGCTGGGCCACTTGCTGGCTGCTTGCTTCTCTCCGTCCTTCCTGCTGCCCGGGCTGGGCTGGCGGTGCAGCATGCGGATGCGGTATTCCCGCAGGCTCAGGGCCTTGGGTTTGGCTTCCTTGGGCAAGCCCTCGCTCGGCTCTGCCGCTGGCAGGCTCTGGGGTGGCTCTGGCCCCACGCCTTGCTCTGAGGGAGGAGAGGCAGCCTCCAAGACCCCGGTACCCTGTCCGGCAGCTGGCTGCACATCCCCCTCACCCTCAGCCTGGTCGGCTGGGCTGGGACACGCCGCTGCTGGCGGCTCCTCCACATTCGGTGCAGTCTTCTCTGGAGGCACCACGGTCTCAGCCTCCTCCAGGGGTACGCTCACCGCTTCTGGTACTGGCTCCTTCTGCAGCTCCTGCTGTGCTTTCTCGGGCAGGGAGGCCCCCGCCGTGCTCCGGGGCCTGCCCCGGGGCCGCGGTGCCCGCTCGGCACGCAGCTCCATCTGCCCCTCCTTCCGGGCTCGCTCCAGCTGCCGCGCCAGGAAGTCTGAGACCTGGACAGAGGGACGCGCTGCCTGCCGCCAGCTGGTGGGCGGCTGGCCCGGGGGCTGCCCGGAGCCGGCCGAGCGGAGCCGGTGGGCCATGCAGTCCCTGCCTGGCCTGGCCTGCTCGCTTTGGTCCTCCTCTGCTTTCTTTTTCCGACTCTTCCTTGCTCTCTCACGGCCACGGCCCTTCTCGGTGCCCTCGCATTTGCTGCCTGCCGGTGCCTCCGTGCTGCACCGGGAGCTGCTGTCAGGACTGCAGGCTCTGGGTGCTGCTGTCTCCGGTGGGGATGTGCTCTCTGGGGTAGTGCAGGAAGGCTCCTTCCCAGGCGGTTTCTCCTCCTTCCCGTTTTCCTGGGCTGGAGCTCCTGGCAGCTCCTCTCGATCCTCTGGGATTGACTCTCCGGTACCCTCCTCTGCTCCCAGGAGCTGGGGGTCCTGGTCGGGGAAGCTGGGGGCCAGCGGCTGCAGCACCACGGGGATCTCCACGCTCTCCCCCTCACCAGGCACAACTTCCAGCAAGACGGGACCGCTGAGGAGCTCCTTGGCCATGGGCTCAGCCTCGGGGTCGAGGCACACAGTGAAAGTAGGCAGGCAGTAAGGGTGCATGGACTTCACCAGCTCACTCAGGGACACGTCACTCGTGTTGATGATGCAGGGGTCTTCATGCTCCTCCAGTGCCGCCCCGGCCCCACTCATGCAGAACTCGGCAGCCTCCATGCTGCTGTCTAGCTCCAGGCTCAAGGCAGCCTCCTCCTCCTCTTCCTCCCCATCGCTGCGCTGTGGCAAGGGCTGCTCTCGGGCCCAGTGCCGGCCCAGCTTCCTCTCCACCCTCGGGGTGCTGCAGACTTGCTTCTTCGGCAGCACTGGGTCCTCGAGGCCGTGAGTGGCACGGTCCCAAGCCAGGTCTGTGTCCGTCTGGGAAGGGGAACCAGAGCGAGCGTCAACTCCGGGGCTTTCACCTGACCCCCCAGGCACAGCCAGCTGTGGGTCTGCTACAACTCTGCAGCAAAGCCCCTGGGCAGATGAAAAGCTGGAACACATTTGACCCCCCAGTAAGACACGACAGAGCTGGAAACCCACCATCCCTACAGGGGCATCCACAGCATCCCCAGTCCCACAGCACCCACCAGCCAGGGCAGCCCCTGCTCCCACTGCCACCGGTGCCCGGCAAAGGCATCGCTTCTGGGAGAGGATGCCTGTGCCGGGCAGGCAGGTAGGGGCCCGGGGGCAGCAGCAGGGACACAGTTACCCCAGCACCACCCCGACGCTGCTCCTTCGGCTTCCCCTGCTGAGCTGCTCACCTTCCCAACCACAGAGATGCTGCTGCTGCTGCTGCTCAGAGGCCTGAGAGCCTTGGGCTGCTCCAGGGCAGGGCTCTCGCACTCCAGCAATGGCCGGGATAAGCTCAGAAACTTCTGAAACTGGAGAGAAGGCAAACAGAGCATGAGGCAGCAGCACGTTTCTGCTGCCAGAGGGGACAGGCCACCCCTGGCCCTGCAGCAGCCATGCATGTCACCCTGCAGAGCCCGGGAGCAAGCTCAGCCCCGTTTCACCCATGGCGCGTGCAGCCCTGGTTGGTCATGCACAGGGGGACACGCTGCTTCCCGGAGCCTCCAGCACATCTCTGGCCGAGACCCAAGGTGAAGGCATGGCCCCCCGAGCCTGCACAGGAGCCCTGGGGATAGCCAGGGCTGGCTCAGCCCTTCTCTCATGTTGCTGGTCATAAGGATTGTCCCAGGGTGCTGGGAACCAGGGTGCCACCACCTCAAGGCACCCCCATGCCAGGACCTGGCTGGAAGAGGCTCGGCAGAGCCCTGCCTGAGCATCTTCCAACCCGTTTTGGGGTTGGGCTGGCTCTGCCCCACAACTCACTGAGGGATTCTCCCGCTCCCGAGGCGAGGTCAGCAGCTCCGCATCCATGATGGTGTCAAAGGGGGACAGGGTCTCGTCGTCCGTGCTGTCCAGGATCTCGGTGATGGCAGTCAGCAGGGACAGCTCGTTCTGCGCATCCAGGCAGGCCTTGCTCTGCTGCAAGGGCAGGGGCGGTCTCAGGACCCGGCCATGGGGGACGCTGCTGCCACCTCTGCCCATGCCACAGCTGGAGCCAGCCCAGCCACTGCTTCCCACACCCGCGCGTGGGCTCCCACCTCGCTCAGAGAGAGGTCCTCGATGATGGAGATCACAGAGGAGTCAAGATAGTTCTGCATCGTCCCCAGGATCTCTTCGGCCTCCAGGATGGTTTCTGCGTCCAGTGACGTCAAGTTCAGGTCGTCCTCCTCAAGGGAAAAGCACTGTGGAGGAACACAGGGAGCCAGGTAAACACTTTGCAAAGCACCACTACCAGCGCCGATCCCGTCCGCAGCGCACATGGGCCCCCGGCAGCCTGCGCTGCAAAGAGCGGCGAAACTCACCGCCATGCCCCCAGCATCCCCAAACGCGCCCGGGGGGCAGGCGGCACAGGGGACCCTCCTGCCCTGCTTTTCAGGAGAGGTTCTGGCTAGTCCACCCCGCTGCACAAAGCCCTGTGCTGCTTCCCGCCTGAGACCCTTTCTGATTACCAGGGATGCCTCCACACCAAAAACTCCCGCCCGATTCGCTCCGCAGTTACAGGACTGGGAAAGACGAACCGATAAACCCTCAGCGATTCCCAGGCTCTGCCCAACACCCCGCACCGCTCGTGCTGGACGGGGAGGGGAGAGGCAGGCTCCCCCCGCCCCACGGACTGTCACGCGCTCCTCCGACTCCGGCTGTCGGCGCTTCAGATAAGCCCCAAAACATTACGAAATTCATAACAAAAGCGCAGGAGTCAGCAACAGGGATGCAGCCAGCTGCCACTGCCAGGGCCCTACCCCGACACCTCTGCTGCAAGAGTACACGGGCTGTGCTCGCAATCCAGGACCAAATCGGCTTTGTTGCTGTGCTTCCTTCAAATTCCCAGCCCCACATCCTTTCCAGACCCCCAGCCAGCTCTGGGGATGCTCAGGTAATGCCGGATTACTTCAGAAAGGTCTTTGCTCCGTGTTCTGCGGTGCCACGCAGCGCAGCACTGCAGGGCGGCCAGGAAAAGCGAGATGCCGGCGAGGGCAGGGGCTGCAGCCCCCGGCCAAGCAGAGCCACCAGACACGCAGCCTCTGCGAGGAGCAGAGTAGCAGTGCAGTCGTGTCGCCGGCACGAGACAGGACGCGAATTCCTGTTTGCAGATGGGCTTAGGCAGAGATAACGCAGGCAGGGAAGATAAGGGCACCAAGGACGGAGCCCTGGGAGAGCACACCTCCCTCCCGAAGCTGGCAGGGAACAGGCAGCGAGCCATCCTACCCGCGCAGCAGCACGGGGAGAATTTGGCGGACCCTGGGGGATGCGCATCTGATGGGGCTCACCCACATTTCTCACAGGTACCGCAGCTTGCACAAGCCTGAGCCCACGCAGGACAAAACGCCCCCCGTCCCTGTACGATACCTGCCTGCACTTTGAAATCCTCTTCTGGCAAGAGGGAAGCTGCACCGGAGGGAGAGCAGGCATTTCACTAAATAGGTGTTTCCTAAAACATGGCAGCAGCAAAGCCACGTGCCCAAACCCCTGGTCGCTGGCGCTCTTCAGAGACTTGCCCCCATCAGACAGGGCAGGCGCCTCTGGCCACAGCACAGCCAGGAGCCCCGTGCAATCCTGGAGCACAGGCATCCCAGGACCAGGCAGGCAATCAGAGCCAGGACCCCCACGGCAACGCCCCGCATCCACCCGGCCCAAATCCCCGCAGCCTGTTACTGCGTGCCGACACAGCAGCACCGAGGAGCGGGAGCCTGCAGTGGTTTGGGGCTCGGCGGGCGGCTCGGCAGCCCGGGCACCCTCTCCTAGGGCTCTCCGCCTGGAAGCAGAGCCCACCGGTGACACTGGGGCGCCGCTCTACCCCGCCGTGCAGATCAGGCTGTGGAGTGGTTTTACCGCTCAGCATCTCCAGTCCCCTCCCTCGGCCAGCGCTGGCTGCCGGTCAGAGCCCGGCGCAGAGCCCCGCTGGCAGCCGCCTACAGCGCAGCCTGGCAGCGATTCCCAGCCAATCCTCCTGGAGATACTGGGAGGAGCAGGGAAGCACACCCAGGCTCACACGCTCAGCACTGCCAAGCGCCGGCGTGCAGCCCTGAGTCAGCGGTGACCAGCAGGCAGAGGCGCCCGGGCCGCCGGAGCAGCCAGTGGCAGGGATCTCACGGAGCATCAGCAGCCGAGGGACGCGGGGGCGGCTCACCCCTGCCTGCTGACGGCACGGGGGGACCGAGGGATGCCCCCGGGGTCGCACGGGCCTGCCTGTCTTGCCACGGGGCTGGCTCTCCCCAAAGGCAGCGTCTAATAAGAGGTTTCCAGCTGTGACCGGCACTGGACGCTTGGAGGGAGGGAAGTAAAATCCTCCCACTCAAACGGCCTCTTCCCGCGGCTCCTGCCCGCAGCCCGGGAGGGAGGGCAGGCGGGCGATCTCCCAAGCCCTCCTCGATTCCTTTGACTCAGCGCCTTGCAAGAAGGAGTCGCACAGCTGTGAGTCACCGGCGAAGGAGGCTGCGTTCCCCCAGGACTCCCTTTGATCCACCTGGGGCCGGGCACCTCCTGCAGCCCTCGCCGCTTATGTGTCGGGGCGGGGGGAGGAGCCAGCCCGGCCTGCTCCCGCGTCCCTGCCCGCCCTCCTCCCCGCCAGAGACCCCCGTCCCCCCTCACTCGGGGGGACACCATCTGCGCCCTCCCAGCTCCCTGTGTTTGCTTTACGCTCAGCAGGGAAGAGCCCGCAGGTCACGGGGACGTTCAAGGACAGGCTTGGGCTCAGGCCGTGCCGTACCCAAGCAGCCGGTGCTGCCGGGGAGAAGGGAGGATGCCCGCAGCCCCAGAGTGACCTCTGGGCACGCGGGGAGCCGGGATTCGAGCCAAGAGCTTGAGATGGAGATGGCCTGAGCGCGGCCACCAGCTCCTGCAGCACGCAACCGGAGCAGGGGACACCACGCTCGATGCCGCGGTACCCAGGAGGCACAACCGAGGCCTCGGCAGGCAGCTGCCCGTCCGAGCTGCGCCGGCGACGCGTGACACGTGTGCCCAGCGTGCCGTGCCGGGGCTACGCCCCAAGCAGAGAGCAGCCATCCTCCCCGCGCTGGCCGCGGGCAGGCTGCCAAGGCAGCCCTCACCTGGCCGGAGCCACTGGCAAGGGCACGGGTGAGCCTGGGAAGCCGGGGGGCTGCAGCCGGCCGGTGCGGCACCGGCTGAGGATGCTCTGCGGATTCCTCAGCTGCTTTTAGGAAGCGTCAGGCTGGAACGCACCTCTCCCCCCCAAACGCAGACCGCTCCCTCCGCGCCAGGGAGAGGCGAGACGGGCTCGGCGTCCCCCTGCCCGGGCTCGGGGCGCGGGGTCTCCCCCGGGGCAGCCCCCTGGTCGGGCCGGAGCACCCTGCAAGGTGCAGAAGCGCGGGGTCCCCGAAACCCCAACCCACGCAGGGAGCAGGTGCCCCCGGGTGCCGCGCTCCCCACCCAGGCAGCAGCGCACCCGCACCCCGCGGCCCGGCCCGGCGGGACCCCACCGGCACCGGTGACACGGGCGATGACCGGTGTCCCGGCACCGCGCCCCGGCGCGGGAGACGCTTCCCCCCAGGATAAACCCCCGCTTCCCCCGGTGCAGCGAGGGGAAGCTCCCCCGTCCCGGAGCGGCCCGCCCGCTCCACCGGGAGCTCCTGACACCGAAAGCGG